AATGAGTTCTAAAGTCTGTTGGTACAGAACATTTTCATTTAAGTATATGTGGCAGAAGGTTAAATTAAATATTTTCCTTCAAATACTGGCTATCTTGGGGTTTGTTTTGCTGATGTAATTAATACTCATGAGGGAAGTGACACTTGCAAGTATAAACTGTGATTTAATTTTAGTGGCCAATTCTTCTCCCTCTCCTATTGCAATCTTCCAGTCATTGCACAAAATACCCCAGGTAATTACAAATAGGCACTTACAGTTAGTTTAGGTCACATGTGCAATGGATGTGAAGGAAATGGAGCAAAACAACATAGAGGGAAGTGACAGTTTTGAACTCTACAAGTAGCACACCCATGGTACAGAAGTTCTTTACTGGCCTTTGTATATTTCCAATTTTATTTAATAAAGTAGAAATTGAATAGTCTTAGACCACCCCTGTAAAATGTGTTTAAGTTACCATAGGTTTTGCAGGTTTTAGCCACAAAGATGGGATGTTGAAGTGAATCAGGCAGCAAAATCCTAGTTTTTGAGCATTTGGAACTATCATGGATTGTACTAATACACCACCAGATTCTCCTACTTCTCAGCATTAACAAAAATTACACCAAAGAACCCGGGATGAATTTTAATTAAATTATTGTTTTATTTATTTTCTTTTGAGGACTGGATGGGACTCCCTTTGGAGCCTGTATAACTCAGATGTTTAATTTATCTGAAGGTCAGTGATGAGCAGATGTGCAGCACTGGCTCTCTCCTGCCGAGCAGCTGAATCCCTCCTTTCACTGCTCTTTCTGGCCCAGGAGCAAGAGATTGGAAGTGCAAACAAAACCTGGCTCCTCCCTCAAGGCAGTGCAGAGCACTACCAACAAGCCACTGGGCTGGCCCTGATCAATTATTTTAAGCCTTATTTATTTCAAAATCGTTTTTCTCTATACTGGAGGCATTTCAGTCGATTGCAGTGAAATTTAGGATATAATGGCTACAGTCTAGAATTCAAAACCAGCAAAAGAAACTTCTCACTCTGGTTTAAAAAAAAAAAAAAAGACATGTCTGTCTGTCTCTTTTTCTCTCTTTGTGGGTGTTTGAGCCCCTCATCTGTTTTTCACTGCCGTTCATTGTACTGGTGTAAACAAAACTTTCATATTAAAATAAAAGGATGTGTGGGCAATGGTTGGCTTCTGTGAGAGTGGAAAATAGATAAAACCAGGACAGGTATTTTCATAAACCAGTTGGAGACAACTAATAATTATTTGTTCTCTTCCTCAGTCCTTCCCTTCCATGAGAAAATTTACTGTTTGTGTAAAAATTCAAAACGTTGATGTTGGTGACTTTTTTTCAGCATATGTTTTTGTACCTGGTTTATCCATGCTTGGCTTTTCATTAGATCTTGTACTGCTGAAGGCTGAGCTGCTAACCAGGTTTATAACATGTATGTACCATCACTTTGTTTACCTGAGTCTTTTTAATTTGAATAAAAATAGTTTGCAAAGTGTTTTGGATTAACCAGGTTTGAGTGTTCCATTAAGACTTCTGTTAGGATTTTATTTCAGGTAATTCTGGCTGTAGCTGATCCAGATGTTCTCAAGTCCTTGGTACATGTGTGCTTGTGTGTGGATAAGATATCCTTTTCCTATTGTCCTGTGTATTTTGAGGTGTTCCTGTAGGTGATAAGAGCAGTGGTCTTGGAAATTGAGCCATCCAAGAACATGAACAGTGAACCTTGAAAAATATCTGAAGCATTGGGAACCAGCCTGAGTGGAGGTGGTAAGATTCAGTCAGTCCCAGATGCTCCTTATTAACTGGTTTGAAAATAAACAGCAAGCCTTAATTTCATATAGAAGCTAACGTGGTTCAGGACTGTCTTCCATGTAGCTGTTTAATAGAGGAAATTAGATGAGTAACATGGAAAAAGCATCTTTTACACAATTCAATTAGAACCAAGGACAGAAATTTTCTGTACAAACCGCAAGAAAAATTAAGTGATAGGAACCTCTTAAGGTGCTTGGCATAAAATTTACAGAGAGCTATTTAAACAGAACACAGCATTATTCAATTAACACACAGCCGTGTTCTCAGCCTGAGGGATAAATGCTGCCTTTCATACAGGCTGCCAGCTTCACAACACTTCTACCCTTCTGTTGCAGTTGCCCAGAGGAAACTGATTCTAATCATCCTCCACATCTTATTTGTTCAGTCTGAGATACTAAAGATCAACCATAAATGTATGTAGCTCCCTCTTAGCTACAAGTGCACAAAATTGAAGTTTCAGAATGTCTGGGCACTGAACATTGTGTGAGCTCTGGTTCAGTGAAATTTTGATTCATAAAATGAAACCTTTTATTAATTTTGCCCTACTGTATTTGCCAGTGAGTCTAATTTGACCCTCATCTTTGGTATAAAGCACCAGCATCCAGTACTGATTTCAGGAAGTTCCTCAGGAACAGCATTCACCCCACCAGTGCTGGGAAGATTTTTTCCCCTTTCTGAAGGAGCTGGGGATAGCCAGGAACAGAGTGCAGCTGCAGTTTGGATCTGTGTGTAAGTCCAAAGTGAAAGCATTCCTCCACTGATGACAGGAAGAGTTTTGCACCAAGGAAAAATTCCCCAATACATCAGATGGCTGTTACTTCCTTTTGCTGCTTTTGAAAAGCTTGGATAAAACTGCTGCAGCCCTGTGCCAGGGAGCAGTGCAGGCTGGCACAACCATCCTTCCTTCTTTCAGCTCTTCCCTGGCTCACCACAGGTTTTTCAGCAGATGGCTGCACCCTTGTGTGCACAGCTGCAGGGGAATGATCAACAGGTCCATTTTTTCCCCAGAATCATTCTGGATTGGTGGTGGAGTTGTCCCCTTTCAAATGCTGAAGTGGTGAGCAGCACTGCTTGTGCATAGGTATCACTCTTTGTTCCCAGGTGACTTTTTACTGCTGCTGCCTTACTGAGTTGAATTTTTGCATGCTTGGTATCCATCTTGCCCTGACTGCCACAGTTTGGAAAGCTTGCAGCAGGATTGCTTTGCTGAGTCTCACCCACAAGCTGTTGCTGTGGCCATTGCAGAACACGTGAAAATGCTGTTGGGGTGAGAGCTGTGCTCCAGGGGGACACCAGTGGATTCCCTGCAGAAGGGAGGGATGTGCTCAGCCCTGGGGCTGGCAGGAGCTGGCAGGGCTAGAAGTGAAAGCTGTGACCCTGGCTCACTCCAACAACCTGGAACAGCCACAAGGTGTTGCCTGAGTGCCGAGCCAAAGGAGAGCTCTTGCTTCCTCCCTGTTCCCCTTGCCACAGCAGATGGATGGGGAAGCTGGAGGATGGGAGGGAGACAGGGACATGAGAGTCAGGCAGTACTGGGGAAGGCAAAGAGCACAGAGTTAGGAGTCGGAAGGAATAAAACTGCAAAACCAAATGAAGGCTTTGGCTGTTGAAGATGGGGTGTAGTTTAAAACCGATACTAAATCCCCGAGTATTCTCAGCTGTGGAATGGGCTGGAATTTTGGAATGGGGAATTGCAGCTATTCTGATTTCCAGCATTAGTGAGAGACTGGCAAAATCTAAAAATGCCAAAGGGTCAGCACTAGCAAACACACTGAGACTGCAGCTCAGATTTCTAAATGTCAAGCTTCATATTCTGTCATAACAGCTCTGTGTTGCCTGAAGTGGTGCAATGCCAGCTCAGAGGATTTTATTCCTGCAGCGGTCAGTGACATGGAACTCCCTGACACCAGACATCCTGTGAGTGACTGCAGCCTCCCTCCCTCTCTGTTTACCTGGCTGGAGCCATCCCAGAGATCTTCCAGATGTGCCTGGTGCTCTCAGCTGCTAGTGGGAAACAGTCACTGCAAAACAAGCAAGAGTCTGAAGTGAGAGCTGGGCTTGGCTCACGCTGTCTGTGCAACACTGCTGCTAGTACAGGAGTGCTTCAGGGAAGCCACAGGAAGTTTTCACAAAGCTCCCAAGTCCTGGGAAATAATTAGGGTACAGGGCTCTTGCTTAAAAAAAACAACCCATATATTGAAAAACTTAATTGTTTTATGACAACAGAGCACAAGAGAGTTTCAAAAAGCTCAAGAAATAAAATCAGATGGAGCAAAAGCTCAGCAGTTTTCATTAATTGCTTTGTTCTTTACTGCTACAGTCAGGGTTGACTTCAGCATGATGGTCTGCGACCATCTGCAAAAAGCAGCTTGTTCACGAGTTTTGGGCTCTGCCTTGGAACTAAACTCAAAGGTTCTTTTTCTGAAATAGAGGCTTTCCTCAAGATATTCACTTGCTGCTCAATCAAAATATGCAGTGACACAGTCACATCTCTAATTCTGTCAGTTTTTATCCCTTGAAAACACAAGTAGCACTAATCCTCCAGATCAAGGCCTTGGAAGGCACAACACGAAGGCTCCCCTGTGTTTGCAAGTGGGGAACCTGCACCTTGACCTCTACAGAGCTGCCCCTGTCTCTGAGCTGATGAAGACTTACAAAGGCTGGCAGGAGGCAGCACGGGAAGCCCTCTGAGGTCATGAACTTCCTCGGGGTTGATTTCAGGCTGATCTTAAGAATTGGCTTCTTTGTTGCACCTTCAGGCTGCACCCCTCCCCTCAGACATTAAACAATTGTATCAAAGCAGGATCCTCGAAGATTACACTGCTGGGACACAGCAGCCAGCCCTGGGGACAGGATTCCCACCCCAGGACTCGGGGGTGCCAGGACTGACACTGCACATTGCTGTGGTCCCTGTCAGACCTGGGCAGCACAGCACAAACACACGGGTCACTCTCCAGACACTGTGGGCTGAGCAAACACTGAGCAGTAAATCTGTGCTCTCTTTATCCAGTTAAAGTTGTGCCACACTGCAAGGAAAACAAATCAGCTGCCAGAGCAGTTCCTGTAAGTCCAAAAGAAACTGACTCAAAGTTACTATTTCCATTATGCTGAGATGGATGCACCCTGTAATGTTTCTTTCCCACTGGTCTTGTCACAAGGGGGGTGTTTCACCAAGCAAACAAAAGCAACAGCCAGACTGTTTACTCAGTTTACTTTATTTAAAAGCACGAGGCAAACATTAAATTAGTGCCAGAGGCCCAAATACAATGTAATTTTCACTTCATTTAAATACAAATATTACAGATATGGAAGAACCATCTGAGTGCATTACACACACGTGTGGATCACAGTTCATCTTGCAGAGCCAACATCTTCCCCCACCTTCAACGTGGCAGTGCTGCTGCTTTGGCACTTGGACAGCTGAAGGACTCAGGAGCTCCCCCTTGAAGAGTTTCAGCTAAAATTCCCCTTTCTCCATCCTTGCCTCGTACTGCCTTTCAGATTGTTTCCTACGGTAAACATCATCTGCAGAAAAAGATGTTTTATGTTAGAGTTTCCCCAGTGCAAGTTAGTGTTAAATACATGAATCCTATCATCTCTTTTTAAACTTTTCAATCCAAACTGCTCGTGCAGATGCTGACTGACAGGCAACTGGAAATTCAAGCCAACAGAAATCCTTATTACCACTTAAAATAGCTCAGGTTCTCTCCCATGTAGGCTAAAGTTATTCCCATCGGTCCCAATGAAATGTTTTTCTAGGAAAACTAAGTTTCCAATGTGAAACAGTTGTTTCTTGTCTACTTTCCCATGAGGGTAATTAAAATTACAAAAGCCCTGACTAGCTGAAGAGAAATTAAATTATAGGCATGTAGTTAATGCCCGAGGGCTTCTAGCCTGACTTCAGTATTTTCATCTTTTCTATAAAACAAAACACAGGAATATTCCCACCTCCATGGTCCTCCCAGTCATTCTTCCTGCCTCCCTGCTCCCTAATACCACATACAGTTGAGCAGATCCCTTCAGCGAAATGCACAAAACTTTCTAGCAGGGTTTATTAAAGGGAGGAATGTCACATTAGAAATAAATGCTTTGACTTACAGAAACTGAACGCCAAGTTCTCTTGAGCCGTTTTCATATTTATTTTTTAAATTGCAGAAGTCACGTTTCAGATAATGCCACACCCCTGCTTAAATGCTGGCAAACCTCACGAGTCTTTTTCAGTCACCACGGAGTGGTTTGATTTGAGAGGGACCTTAAAGATGACCCCGTTCCATCCCCCTGCCATGGACAGGAACACTTTCTGCCTGGCCTTGGACACTTCCAGGGCTGGGGCAGCCACAGCTTCCCTGGGCACCTGTGCCAGCGCCTCGCAATCCTCAGAGGAAAGAATTTTCCCCCCAATATCCAATCTAAATGTAGCGTGTTTCAGTTTTATTCGAACTGAATAAACGAAACGCAGGATTTGTGTTTGTCTGCCGGGGAGGCAGGGCCGGCAGTGAGCGCGGGCTGACCGGGAGCGGCGGAGCCCCGGGCCCCTCACCGCACTCACAGAAGGTCTCTTGGCCCACGCGGACGTTGATCATGAACCACTCCATGGCTCCGCCGAGCACGAAGAAGAAGGGCAGGAACCTGTAGAAGCCAAAGCGCCGCTGCCCGGGCACCAGCTGCAAAAGGCGCTTCACCCTCTCGCTGGCCAGCATGGCCTTCGCGGCTGGCGGAGAGAGCAGGGGCGGGACGTGCCGCAGTCAGTCACCGCGCGGCCCTGGCGGCCATGGCGGCCCCGCCGCCCCTGCCCCCAGAGCGGAGCGGCTCCCCTGAGCGCGGAGCGGCTCCGGCTGAGAGCGGAGCAGCCCGGCTGAGAGCGGAGCAGCCCCGGCGTCCGGCGGGACCATGGCGGCGCTGGGCTCGGCGGCGCTGCGGAGGGGCGGCGGCGCGGCCCCCCGGCTCCTCGCCGTGGCCGTGTCCTGCCAGAGCTGCCGGCACAAAGCCACCGGGGACGGCGGGCACGGGCAGCCCCGGGAGCAGCAGCCGGCGGTCCCCGGCAGAGTGGGCGGCCAGCCCGTCCCGGCCGAGGGCGCGGACACCAAGAGCTACCTGTGGGCCAGGTACCACGAGATGAAGAAGCTGGTCTACGGTAAGGCGCTGCCGCGTCCTGCCCGCGCCGGCCTCTCCATCCTTTTATCCCCTCTCCTTTCTCCTCTTTGCATCTCGGGATGTGCCCGCGCTGTGCCGATGCCGCGTTAGAGCCTTTCTCCCCGGCCATGCCATCCGCATCTTCAGTCGCCCGCGGCTCTCTGGGCTGGTTTTACTTCATTGAAATCTGGTCTTGATCTTCCTCTCCCCATCCTTCTGTGCAGACTCCCCGTCTGGGCTCAGCGTTGCAGGGCATGCAGGGTAAATGGGGCTCTTCATAGCTAGCCATCGTCGGCATTGTCATGGCAAAAGGTCTGAGTGAAGGGCTGGTTGCCTTTTTCTCCAGTTTGCCGCACGCAATCGCGTTAGACCAGGACAAATGGATGGCGGTGCTGAGTGAAGGGGCGACGAGTCCAAGTCGCCCCTGGAGAGCACTGATGCTGCAGCGCCTGGGCTGGGTCCTGGTCCCGAGCTCGGTTTGTGTTCCACGTGTCACACCTCTTGCTCATGAGTGCTTTTCTGCTTCTCTGACCAAGAAGTTACCTGGCTCTGTCGGGTACTTTGAAATCTTGCCAAGCAAAGAGAAAACTCGAGCTGCTCGCCAAGTCTGCCTGTGTGTAAAACAGGATTGTGGTCTTTTTGCTAGCAGCAGACCTCCACTGTATTAAACTCTCCTAAAAATAGCTTTAATGACATGAGGGCAGGGAACTTCTTCCTGTTGGTTTCTTGGTTCTTGGAGTGTTGAAGGTAAGCACTGTAGAGAGCTAGGAAGTGAGTTTTTGCCTGCTCTTACAGAAGTCTGTTAGCTTTTGTTTACTTAAGGGCTTGGATAAGGACAGCAGTCAGCCCTAGGCATCTGGAAGAACTTTCTCCCTGTTCTGAGATCGACAAGGTCTGCCATCCCTTCCTCCCCCATCTTCCAGTCCACCGGATTTCACATCAAATCTCGAGTCCTTCATGATGCACAAATGTGAAGGAATTGGCTGCTGATCCATTAGGTGCTCAGGCTGCTGCATTCCAGGCTGAGAGCTCCTTTCCCAGCGCTGTTGAAGGCAGTACAGGATGCTGACAGAGGACTGGGGCTTTGCTAATACCCTCCAAGACTGAGTTGTGGTTTTAGCCCCACTGCTTGAAAGAAATTCCAATTTGCAATTCTTGTATTGCTGTTTGGAGCTTGCTATTCTCAAAGGCATTATTTTCTTTTCCATAATGAGATTGAAACCATAAATGCAAATGTGTGCTAATAGGCTGTGTCACGGTCTCTTGGCAGAATGCTTGGTTTGCTACATGAGATTGTGGAGTTTGTGTTCACATAACTCTGTTGTGGTGCAAGAGATGCAGTTTTTAATTGAGGTGGAGCAGTAATCACCAGGGGTAAATGCCAAATGAAGTCAGGTGATGTAGCCCAAGTGTTACAGAGCAGACTCTTCACAAACCTTCAGGTAGCCATCAGATATGTTGAATAAGACCTTTGTTTAAAGAGTATCTCCCCAAACTAAAATTTCAAGACTGTGCTGTTATTTAAATCCTGTCAGGAAGAGACAGAGTTGGTCCAAGTTGGTTTTAATTGTTGCTTTGGTGACTGAACAGTTGTGCAGAACGTGGCATCAGTCTGTTCCTTTGTGCTTGGTTTCTGACTCTGGTGTGAAGGTGAATTCTGACTGATTTCTGACTCTGGTCTGTGCTTGGCTTCTCAGTATTGCCCAGCACTGAGTTTGGGCAGGCTCCTCTGTGCCTCTTTCTCCTTCCCCCCCTGAAACGCCACCTTTGTGCAGTCCCTTGTCCTGTTACCAGTTGCCACTGCTTTGGAGAGAGTCTGTGCCAGCAGAATTCCTGGTGTGTTTTCAGACCAGCCCTTGCTTAGGACCAGATCCGTGGAGCACAGTTGCATTTTTGCACCATAAATGCTGAGTTGGGCAGGGCAGGATGTGCAGGACAAGTTTCTGTGCACTGGAGCTCAGTGGTGCTGCAGGTTTGGGGCCAGAGGAGGGGCACAAGGAGTTCTCAACTCTGCACAGACATCTGTGCTCTGCCAGGCTGGAGTGGGCTGATACAAATGACAGCACAACGTAGCTGCACAGAGAGAGCCTCTAAAACTTCCTCTCAGTGGTGACTCAAGAGAACCCATTCTCTTCATTATCCCTGCTGCCTCTTGCAACACTGACCAAATTTCACTACCTGGAAAAACTTGAGGCTAAAAATTTGAGGCACTAAGTGTGCTTTTTTTTTTTTCTTCTGCCAAAAGGAATGGTACATTCACATTAGTCAGAGGGATGGAGTTGAGCAAGACTTGCTGTTTTCTGATCTGATAAATGTCAAGGAAGGCTGATAAGCTCTCTCAGTAAGCTTTGAAGTCTTGCACTCTAGGAAACATCAGGACAGCCAAGCCAGTGAGGCTTTGGCTATGAGCAAGTGTTTGTTTTTTCCCAGGTGTTCCAAATCTGTAAGCAGTGGCTACACTAACTCATCTTTCCTAGGGAACTTTACAATATCTGCAAACTTCTTGCCTCTGCATGACAAGTTTGAGCAGGGTTAAATGTGAGAACAGCCAGAACTGGAAGAGTGACCAGTTATGTAAACTTCTCAATTTTGCTTTCTTGGATATAACCCATTTTTTCTTGTGAAGAACTCTTGTAGCATTTCTCTAGTGCCTTTTTATCTTTTAAAAATGTAATTTAGGAATGAAATTATATTTTTAATATTACTTTTAATTAATGTAGATTTCATTGGTGAGAAATACCAAAATATTTAGGCATAATAGCATAAATCCAAGGTCTTTTAGCATGTATTCTCTGAAATTAAATGGTCTTTAGATAATATTTTTCCCTTCCTACCCTATTGGTAGAAGGATCTGCTTTGGCTGGTGGGAGTGCTTTGCAGGAAATGGCACAAAACAACACTTCAAAAGGATAAAGGGGTGCATAAAAGGAAGGAAAACTGGCAGTCTGTCTTTAGAAAACAACTTCGTGTGAACAAGGGAAACTTTTTGATTCATGAAGAATGTGGAGGATGATGGCCATCTGCTTCTCTGTACCCTTCTTTTCCCTGCTTGTCCTATGAAGAAATTAGTGCAGATGTCTGCAGGGTTGAACTGCGAGTACAAAGGGTGTGAGACGTGCGGGTGAGTTGCCTTGTCTGTGTATTATTCCTCACCAACGTGCTGGCTCTGAGGCTGAGAGAACGGGAGCGTTTCCTGCAGGATGCTGCTGGCACCCCGGCAGCTCAGAGAAGCAGGATTCGTGCTTGGCACCTCCTGCCCCGAGCGCTTTTCACATCAGAAGGGGCCAGATGGTGTCTCTAGTGTCTGCTCACAGTTAATTACCTGCTTTTGTTTCCCTCTCTGCTCTCCTGGTGGGGATTGAGCGTTATTGCTTTCTAACAGTGTGGGTTATTGCCTGGGACGAGACACCGGTACCCTCATGGAGACACTGATTTAAGCAGCCGTCCAGGTTCTCACAGTGGAAAATGAAGGAGATGTGCGTTTGCTTTGCATTTACATTTCAGAGATGCACGAGATCAAGCATGCTTTCTTGTGGGCTGCCTTTGCTGCTGGATTTCATCGTGTGCCGTGGACATGCAGGCACTTCCCTAAAATCTGTCAGAGTTGCAAACAGGAGCAAATTGTGCAAGCAGGCAGATTCCTGGGGCTGCATCCAGTGCAAGTGCAACTTTGTCCACACCGTCCTCCCATGTGCTCACGCTGCTTCTCCCTCAGATCAGACTTCCTGGGTGAAGTGCTGAGTAGGCAGTGACTAACTGATATTGTCTGCCTTTCTAGTTAGGACCCAGACAGAAAGAGTAGTTGGGATTATTATTCTTTTTTAATAACCAAAACTGCTCTTCATTTTGTGTAGTTGTTTTCTTTAATTTATCATATCTGTCCAGCAATTTGTTATGGTGTCTTGGCAAAGAAGAAAAGCAAAAGCTATAGTTCTTGACAAATGGCATCTTCATGAGCTGCTGGTGGGTGTCTGTTTGTTTTGATTTGACAATTGCCAGGAAATCTGAGACAAAGATCCCTGGCAGATAACGTGCAGAGCGTCAGCAGCACCCAAGCCTCAGCCCAGGACTCGATTAAGCACTAAGGACTGGTAACCACCCAGGAGGATATCTTTGAAAAACACACAAACAAAGCACCACAAAAAAGCAAACCAAACCCCCAAACAAACACAATTAAACCAAGCTTCTTGAAAGCTGGCTCCGTAACCCTGAGGCATGTTTGGACTCTTGTATTGAAACTGATTCTTTGTGTGCTCCCAGGTTGTCTCTTTTCCCTGCTGTAGTTGGAACCTGCATGGAGACTGCATGAGTTTGAGGAGATAGAGACCTGCAGCTCTGTTGAGAGGGTGCTGCAAAAGGACATTTACACTGGGACAAATGTGCATCATGATTCTCTAGACTGAACCACAGAGATTTCCTCCTTTCCAGAAGAGCAGTGACTTTGAAATCACTGTAAATTCAAGATGTAGGATGATGGGGTGGACAGAGCAAGTTGCAAGTTGTGAGTGATGTGGAATAGGAAACACAACAAGGAGATGTGTGGTGCTTGGGGAAGTGAGCATAGGGAACACATTGTGTATGAGCCAGTGGGTGTAAATCATTTTGGCTGGTATGTGCAAGCTTTTTCAGCCCTTAGGAGGTAAGAGAGAATATGCTGTGTAAGTA